CAGAATCGAAGGAGATAATTTTTCTTAATAAAAATTAATAATTGAAAATATTTTTTATCTATTTTAATTGACTCCTTGAGGATAAATTAAGCAATAATTTTATATTTTTCGGCTGATAAAAAAATTTATAATTTTTTCCAGAATTTTGTTTCAGGAATTTATTAAGATTCAAAATAAAATTAATGGTCCGGTCATATTTCCAGATAAGCGTTATGGCATAACTTGTATTTAATTATGGTGTTACCACGGAACTAACATTCCAACGGACAGCCCCCACCCCCACAAATTTTTGTGGTTGTTATGTTGTTTATTTAAGAAGAGTTCAATATGCATACATTGTGTGCAGAATTATTTGGGCGATAGAGGCATATTAATAAACTTCAGAGGATTTTACGAGAGAAATTTATAAAGGAAAAATCATGAGTCTAGCTCGATTAAAATGATTTCATTGTTTAGATATATATATATATATATATATATATATATTGTAAGTTTTTGTCTTTCATTGTATAACAAAAAATAATATTATATAAATGAGACGAGTTGATTTTAATTTTATTAGATGAGTGTCAGTGGTCTAGCGATAATGCAATGGTGATGGTCTAGCAATGATGGATCGATGATGAAAACTGCTATGTTGGTCGTGCAGCGTGGTCCAACGACGACATCTACACGTATTTGGTGACAATGATTGATTGATTACGGGGCAATAAGTTAGTCACCCAAAATAACAAGTTAAGAAATAATTCTTTTTCTTTCATTTACTTGAAATACTTCATCGTTCAATATTTTCAAAATTTTAAATTTAGATAAATTCCTACTTCCATTACATCTCAGGTGAGCTTTTCATTCCTTTTTTTTTTGGTATCAAAATGATTATTTTTTTGAAATATGTGATAAGTAATAGCCAAGGTTGATGACCCATAAAAGAGAGCTTACTACACTGGTACAATCATAACAATTTAGTATTTCCAACACAATAATGACATGCAAAATTTCCTTCTATACTTGAAACACCACCAACAAATTTTCATCATCCAGCATGAATCTAGAGGCATAATACAAATCTCGATATAATCTTTTAAACAATAAGTATTCAAACTTCAATTAGGAGTCATCCAAAGCATCAATTTCAACTAATTTAAAGTCAAACTGACCGGTTCGACAAGACAGACTCAATGATATCAAAATTAGTCAAATCCAAGTCATATCAACCTCAGATCAAGTCATTAAACAACTCTTAGAAGTTTTTTTGACTCATTTGGAAGGTCAAACGGATGTTGAATCCGGTGAGTTCATAGTCAAACCAACCTTCTCGACAAAACGAATTGAAGAAGCCCAAAATTGATCAATTTCAACATTCTTTAAAGCACTTAAATGTCCATCAAACGTTGTTTGATTGAACGAAGCTTTCTAGACCGTACGATTAATGTGGTTTATATTTCTGCATTAATTACATCTAGAATACTATAAATAGAACCCCAACCCTCTCATGAATGGGGGAGGTTTGAAACTTGAGAGAGAACTTGAAGCTTTGAGAAGGAGCTGAAGTCCAGCAACATCCTTGTTATCACCGCCGACCATGTCAACCACCGCCGACCATCATCAACCACCGCCAAACATCGTCGACCACAGCCGCTGTCGCCAACACCTGTTGATCTCTGTCGACCACTTCAATTATCATTTACAACCACCGACCGTCGTCCTACACTACCGTCTCTGTTAACCACCACTGATCATCATCGACCGTCGTTGACTTTCATCAATCAACTCCAATCATCGTCAACCACCAATGACCGAAAACATTCAGTTGACGTTGTAACTCAAAAGATCTCGACTTTCACTAGTATAAACATTTCAAACAAAATAAGTGTAATATAAATGATTAGCTTGTGAAACACTTACAACAAGGAAATAATTTTATTCCCGCATCTTCTAATAACTTCTTGAAACTTTGATATCACTTGACGAATGTAGATAAGATTTTTCACAATTAATAGCTAGATTAATTTAAATATTTTTGGAGATAAAAGTGTCGCTTATTATCCTTCTATATAATTCATGGTTGATTATTCTGCTGGATTTGTGATTGTTGAATATCATATATATATATATATATATATATATATATTTCACATTATGCACCCTCACTATAGTGTTATACACTTCCACATGTAACTTCTATATGAGATAACAAGAAAATTTTTTTTGAGATTAAATGGTCTTTGACATCTTTCAATGTCTAGAAAAATCTATTAATGCAATTCCTACATAGACATAAAACTTTATCCTTCTCGTAAACTCTTAAAAATTTTCTATACTCTTCTTATCTACTTACAAGATGTAGGTGCTTAAATTCAATTTATTTCCATTATAAGAGAAGATAAAGTTCAAAGTCACTATCAATATGAAGGATATAGAAAAAGAGTTCCTTGATATGTGTAATAGAATAATATATAAATTTTATCAATAATGTCTTATATTATTTATGATTTATTAGTTAAATAAAATTTGATTAACTATAGCCTATTTAATTATATATTTAATAATAGGATATTATAATTTAATATCAATATGCTATACATATAATTTAACTAAATTTCTTCGAATATCTTTATTTCAAAGAAATTGTTTGTTTGTGGGAAAAAAAACATGCAACTTATTTAACTAAAAATATAACCAATAATCGTAACTATAAGAAGCTAGAAATAATTATGAAAATTCAAGCTAAGTCATTCTCTCTCATTACTCCATTAAGAGAAAATCCTTTCTCTTGCACATTCTAATCTCTTCAATATCAGTTATATGCAGATCAACAGAGTAAGACAAGTTCAATTAAAATTAAAAATCATAATAAGTAAATATAATATAAATAAGTGTTAATTCAACATCAATAAAAGAGATATCATGATTAAAGATTAGTTCAAGATAATTAATAAATTATCAACAATGAAACATGATAAATACGGGTGAATCAATGCTTAACTTGCATAATATGAATGAGAATTTAGGCATAAGAAAATCCCATAACAATAACACACCCGTGCACACATGCACAATATGTGAGTGAGCATTTAGACATAAGAAATCCCATAACACCAACACACACACATACACACACAGATAATATGCTAGGAATTATGTAGTATTCTAACTTCTATGCGTCATGCATAATTAAAGCATTATAAGAGAGAATGACAAAATCTAACTCTATATGCATAGGTAACGACTTAATAGAAATTAACTAGTGGATAGTTGCAAAGACTATAGAATGACATTCGAATGTGGGTATGAGAGATCGTGCAATATACTTTAATTATTGAAATTTAAAATTGGAGAGCAAATTCCCCAAGTGATTTGATTATTTAAAGAACGTATAAAACTTTAAAGTCACAACCTTTTACCTTAATCCTTTGTCATAATTTTCTCCCTTTCTCTCCTCACTTGAATGATCAGTAAGGGAAAATAGGATAGCATACTTTAAGATGTTAAGGATAAGGACAAAACAATCATTTACCAAATTCACCCTTAATACCCAAATCAATTTATGAAAACAAATGCATAAAAAAACACAAGAAGTAGAGCACAAGAAATTGACTCACATTCTATCTACAAAATCTGAACTATAGATATATATATATATATATATGGATGCATATATATTGTCTTTCACTAACAAAATACATACATAACTTTTTATCCGCATGTAGATTGAAATAAACTATCTATATTTATTTGCTAATATCTCTAAAATATGACCTTAAAATTATTATATTTTCCATCAAAGAAAATCCATCCATCCACTTAGCAAAATAATAACCATATATTGTCCATCATAAAATAATTAAAATTTTAGTTAGCCTTCCACAAAAAAAAATTCATCGCCCTAAAAAATCTCACACAAAAACAAAAAATTATGAAGAAATTCAAAGAATCATCTTGCTATTGTTATAAAAGCAAAGCAAAAAATGATTGCCATAGAAATGCCTAGGATTTGTGTCGGTGCATGGGACAAGGCTCAGTGTCGGGATTTTTTGTTGCGTGTGGACATCGAATGCAATTTTTGTGTCCGGTATTCGATCAGAAACGTCAAAAAATTTTGAGTGGGACTCACTCTAAAAAAATAAAAAATAAAAAATGTATTTTAGTGATCCTGATTGGACACTAGACGCAAATTTGTGTCGGTATCCATACGCAATAAAAGCTCCAGCGTCAGGGAGTTCGACAAGGGTCACAGGCGATGCATGGTCGACGAAGCGTCTGATCGGGCACTCAATTAAGCGTCCCAACGTCAGCGAGTGAAATCAACTAGGGTTAGGGCCTGCCCAACAAGAGCAAACTAAACATAAACACTTGAATCATCAAAGATTGGAGTGGTACAAATGTAAAAAAATTAAAGATTAGGTCTTTGATATGTATATATATAGGAATTCGGTGGTATGTATGTAAATGCTCGTTCATAATTAGCTGACTGATGTGCTTGCTTTTCATGCAGGTTAAGTACCATGTAGAACTTCAGCACGAAACCTGTTATCTCCCCGGATCTATCTTTTACATGTGCTTACCTTCCTATTTGCTTCATTAGATTGATTGTGACATTCACTTTCGCTGATCAGTACAGTGAAAAGGTCCTTTTTCGATGTTTAGCTGTCCTTTTTAATGAAAAAATTAAAAGGGATTTAAAGGTTTAAGCTTAATTAGACTTAAATTGTAGGCAGGAATGATTTTCCTATGCATGACTCTTGATCATTAAAAGTAGCTAGCTATTACTACCATTTGGATCTCACACGCTTTTATCAAGGGCATATGTTGCTATAGTATTAGTGGAGATATAGGTATATCCGAACCCCTGAGAAAGAAATTTTGGGTGGGCTCTACAATGCAGGTACCATATATTTTCTCACTCTTCTCTATTACAAAGATTGGTTGATGAAAAGAATTGTAGTTTGCATAAATTCCTTTGTTACCATGAGCTTCAGGCTCCGGAACATTCTCCGGCCTATAATTCTATTCTCAATTTTTTCAATAGTTCAAGATAGGTAAAGTCCTACCAGTGGATCCTAAGAGGAGTTGATATATAGTAGTCCTAGGGTTGTTTAGGTACCTGCTAACCATTGATCAGTTTGGTAAATTGCTATAGAAGAATGGGTGTCTCCGTATCTTCTCCATTAAATGGGTACAACCTATCTTGTTTGAGGCAACTTGTACTTGTACACTACCTTTAGCCTTCATCTACTTGCATGGTTTGATTCATCTGCTTTATTACTGGTGATGGTTTCTTCTACCACAATTGTTTTGCTTGTTTATTTTGAGAAATAGATCGATAATGAGCCAATGAAAACATATATATATGAACTGTCGTGCTGATTATTAATTTGTCAATATTTCTTATCTTTAAATATATATCTATATAAACATATATATATGACGGCAAACTCATACATTTTGGTAATAAAGAGAAAAAATGTTCCCAAAGTACTACGTCAACTTATTTGGAGGTGCTGTATTTCTGATCTGTTTTCCAATCATCAATGAACGGCCTCCTTTAGCATTGGCAGCTGTAAACATTACTCATCTTCCAGGCTTCGAAGGTGCGCTTCCCTTCCATTTAGAAACTGGGTGAGCTCATTAATTTTTCATATTCCTTATGAATACTTAAATATTTTTGGACATTTTTAATTTGTTGATATATAACATGAATAAAAAGCTTATTATTTTAATTTAGAGTTGGTTTTTATGTATCGTATTGGTATTTGTATTTGCATGCGTGCGTGCGTAGGTATGTAAAAGTGGATGAGTTGAAGGGTGTGGAGCTGTTCTATTACTTCAGTGAGTCAGAGAGGAACCCTGCAGAGGATCCTGTTCTTCTGTGGCTCACAGGTGGGCCTGGCTGCTCTGCTTTCAGTGGTCTAGCCCTCGAAATTGGTCAGTTTCGTATAACTTTTTCTTATAACTATTACTACAGGATTCAGAATTTATCTTGTAATTTTCATGGAGTTCTTTAATAGGTTTAGGGAAACTTCTTGCATTTTGATGAGGTTTGGATACATCAAGAGCTCCTAATCTAATTTCTCTCCCATTTAGTCATCAGTAAATGTCAAAAAATCTTAGAAAAACTAATTATCATGCACTAAACTAAAATTATGTATTATCAAACGATTTAAGAAACTGTTTCTTTAATGCATGCAGCCGTGGTCGAATTTTTTGAAGGCGAGCCAAGTTTTCTCCTCCCTCTGCTAAGTGGTTCTGCTTAATATTATTTAACCGCTTTGTAATTCGTGGATGCATAAGTAAAACGGCAGCACATAGCCAGTATTTTATTAAATAAAAAAGAAATTTATAAAGATACCATAAAACTTTATGTATTTATATATTTAACACCTAAATTTTCATATTTATGTTAAAACACTATTTCGATGTCATGAATTATGTATATTGAAATAAACAGGGCCTTTAAAATTCAAGGTAGCACTATTTCGATGTCATGAATTATTGAAATAAACAGGGCCTTTAAAATTCAAGGTAGAGAAGTATGAGGGGAAATTGCCGAGCATGATTTATAATCCCAATTCCTGGACGAAGGTAGGCAATGTCTAGCTATAATAATTAGTTTACTCCATTAATACTGTTGAGTTATAAATACAAATATTTATTTATTTTTTCATGGGTTGCACCTTCAAGTTCTCAAGCGTAATCTTCTTGGACTCCCCGGTTGGGACTGGATTCTCCTTCTCCAATACCCCAGAGGGATGCATAACTGGTGACTTGTCTTGGTCCGAACATGCAACCATATTTCTCAGAAAGGTTGCACTTAATTACTTTCCGAACTTTGAACAAATATTCGGTCCTGATGCCAATTGCATCAAGACATCTAGTTAGCCGCACTAACCACCAAAAAAATTATTAATAGTAATAAAAGGAAAAAAAAATGAATATGACCTGGAAAACAGTGACCTCCCATGTTACGATTATTACGGCAACGATTTAGCATTTATTGTTCGAGTCAAGATTGGTAAAAATTGAAAATTTACGTGATTTGAGATTAAAAATAAAATTGATGGATAAAAAGTATAGCATTTAGAATTCTAAAGAGTAGAAAGATAAAATATGGTCCGAAAAAGATAACGTAAATAAGAATGTGTCAATGTGTCGATGGATAACCAACAGAATATCTATGTTATTTTATATTTCAACACTTCGGTAATTTTCAACATAATACATAAATATCAATATGGGAAAAATTGAAAATTTACGTGATTTGAGATTAAAAGTATAATTGATGGATAAAAAGAATTGCATTTAGAATTCTAAAGATAAGAAAGATAAAATATGATCTGAAAAAGATAACTTGAGTGAAACATGTGTCGATGTATAACCAACAGAATGTCTATGTTATTTTAGATTTCAACTGTTCGACAATTTTCAACATAATACATAAATACAAAGATGAGAAAAATTGAAAATTCACGTGATTTGGGATTTAAAATATAATTGATGGATAAAAAGAATTGCATTTAGAATTTACGTGATTTGGGATTTATGGATAAAAAGAATTGCATTTAGAATTCTAAAGAGGAAAAATATAAAATATGGTCTGAAAAAGATAACGTGAA